CCTTTTAGATTCTTAGTTTGTCGTAGATAACATAAATAGTCCGCCACTTGAGGATGGGTAGCATATCTGGCTGTAAATCCTTTCTTTGCAGCATAAATGGTGAAACTGTGCCATTTGTCATGCATTATAAGTTCTTGAGTAGAATGTCGCAGTGCAAAGCGTGACAGCTTTTGCGCTCTGGCTGAATAACCTCTCTTATTCAGGCATGCCTTGATACAATCAAGCGTGAAGTTGGAATACTTCTGGTTTCCCGTGCACTTGTTTGGTGTGTGGATGTATCAATAGATTCGAGCGTTCTGGAAGTTGTAGAATTGGTTGACCGATTTCTTGAATAAGATTTGGAAACCATGTTTTCGCTGGCCAGTAGGGCGTGACCAAAATGAGATTGAGGCTCTGCGTTAGGCTGATTTTCCGTATGACTTGTGGGATTAACGCTAGAGGCGGGAAAGCGTACGCGTTGAGTCCCTCCCACGATATGCTTAGTGCGTCCGTTGCCCATGCTAGTGGGTCTGGAACTGGCGATCCAATGTTGTCAGTTGTTTGTTGAATCGAGTGGCGAATAGGTCTACTAGTGGAGATCCCATTTCCATGATTATTTGAGTGAATATCTGTGTGTGGAGCATCCATTCTGTCTGCGACGGTAGGTGTGGCCGAGAGAGAGCGTCTGCTAATACATTCTTTGCTCCTGGAATGTGGCAAGCTCTGGCATGTATGTTTAGATTGTCTATTAGGTTGAATAGTTGGAAACAAAGGGACAGTAGTTTCGGGGACCTTGTTGAGCCCTGTTTGTTCACATAAAACGCCACTGTCGAATTGTCTGTGTGAATCATCAACTGAGTGTTCTGTAGTAGGTTGCTCCAGTGATTTATGGCGTTTATGACTGCTTGCATCTCTAGCAGATTTATGTGATATTTGCTCTCTTGTTTGCTCCATAGGCCTGGCTGTCTTGTGTAAGCAAGGTGGGCTCCCCAACCTTGTAGTGGCAGCGTCACGTACAGATGTGTTTCGATTCCGGCTCTAATAAGGAGGCGCTACATAAACATTCAATCTCTTGGTCCACCAGAGTAGATGAGGTTTGGCGTGATCTGGTAGACTGAATGGTAGAGGGTCCTCGAGATGCGCATTGATGAGGACTTGTAACGGACGTAATTGAAGCCTGCCTCTGACTGTCAAGTCTTGGGCTGAAGTGAGTAGTCCCAATAGAATTTGCCACTGTCGTAGTGGTAGCGGAGAGAAAAAGGCTTGTGGGATTAACTGTTGGATCTTGATCCATCTGTCCTCCGGGGACTACTATCACGATTCTGGGCTGTTAGAAATCGTATCCCTAAAAATGCAGATCTTGCGTTGGTTCTAGGTCCGACTTGAGTAGATTTACTAATCATCCTAGTTGTGTTAGTAACTTGATTATAAAGTTCAGCTGTAGTCTGAGGCGCTGTGGATCTGGATCCACTTGTATCCCGTCGTCTAGGTAAAATGCGCTGCGAAGACCTTGGCGATGATGTAGGTATCACGACAATAGGCTTCGTCACTCTTGTGAATAACCAAGGGGCCGATGAGATTCCGAAGGGAAGTACTTTCCATTGGTAGTGTTTCCCGTCTAGGATAAATCTTAGATATTTCCTTGAATTGCGATGAATCGGAATGTGTAGATATGCATCTTGCAGATCTATGCTGGCCATGTAATCTTTGGGACGAATTAAGTGCCGAAGTTGCGGTAAGTGTATCATGCGAAACGCTGGCGGTTTGCTTAGATAGTCTCTGTTGAAGATGCTCATGTTGTATATGAGACGAAACTTTTCCCTGGAATTCTTCTTGGGCACTAGGAAAACTGGGGAGTAGAAACCTTGGAGATCGGTTCAATTGGTGGAATCGTGAGGGTGTCAAAGTCATCATTCCGCATCTTGTAAGTGAATGCTGCATCCGATTCCTTGGAGGGGGAGTCCAAGTCCAGACTGTTAGCAATCCATGATGTGACCTCTGTTTCTGAGAAAACAAAGTAACCCTCTTTCTCAGAGTGTACCGGGTCCGCCGAACCTTCCTTCTGCGAACCTGTATTCCGCGAACCTTCCTTCCGGGAGCTGCAAGATCCTGATGTAGAACGACTGGATCTCGAGGGGGACCTTCCTTCATCTAATGTTCTCAAACGTTGAGGGTTCGCTGAACCTCTAGTAGACTCTGGGACGTTCGCCTAACCTCTTGTAGACACAGGGACGTTCGCCAAACCTCTAGTAGACTCTGGGACGTTCGCCTAACCTCTTGTAGACACAGGGACGTTCGCCAAACCTTTTGTAGACTCAGGGACGTTCGTCAAACTTCTTGTAGACTCAAAGACGTTCGCCGAACCTTCTTCCAAGGCAGGAACAGGTTCTCGCATGGCTGAGGTTCGCCAAACGTTGTCTGTCATCGTAGGATTCTGCCATGCAGCTCTCTCTTCGGCGAATCTCTCCTCCATCAAGGCCATCATCTGCGTGGTAAACTGCCTCATGAAGTCCCCTGGGTCGAAGTTCTGCATTGTAGGCCGGAACTGATGCGGTGTAGATGTAGCGGTCAAGAACGCTGAGGCGTCAAGTGTGTCTACCTGTAACTACGATGATGCTACGCTGTTGTTGTCTACGTTGACAGACGTCTGCGTAGCTGACGGCTGAACTTCAAATAGATAAACAGCTGCCGAGGTTGCAGGGGACATTCGTCTCGCCGTGGAGGTATACTGCGGCGATGATCTTACTGGTACTTCAGGTAGCAGTATCGGGGAGTTCATCATAAACATCTGCTTCGTCAGGAGGCACTATGTCTTCATTAACGACCTCTGATGCGTTGACTTACTAGAACAAGATGACTTCGACAAAGTTCTAGATGACAATGACTTGTTCTTCATCGCAGATGATGAGGACATCTTTTTCTTACTCGCCGCTGGCGTCAACTCAGTAAAAGCAGATCTCTTCTTGGACCCGGCTGAGTCCCACTAGCCACAGCTGACTGCCCATGGAACGTACTCGGAAATTCACCTGCATTATGAATTACAGCAGTAGTTAACAACATACAGTTACCGGCGTTATCTCCAGATTTATCACCATTGACTTCAGATAATTTCTTCACTCGATCCATGGCACGTTTAAAACGTAAGACAAATAACGATTAAATTGCCAATCTGGTAAATTAATACAATATCTGCAACGCAAACTGGAAGAACATGTATTAATACATGATGGACATTGGGGGGTGAGGATCAGCCGCTAATAACCGGTATCTGCAATCACGATTTCATCAAATGTAAACAAACTACATTATGATGAGAAAAAGTGACAAAATATGAATAATGTTTTCAAAATTTTGGCATACAATTAAAGTTAAATACAACCAGAAATCATACATAGCTTAATTTGGATAAAAGAATCTAAATATTAAAGGATATGGTGCCATATAAGGGACTCCAGTGCTCACCCAACCATCTGCTTGGGCGATGAAGGAGAGAGGGACAAGAATGGCAGGTCACATGACTGTTTGCGTGGGAAAAGGAAGGCAACTCGTGGGTGAGTGAACTTTTATGTCCTGTTCGGTAACTTCAAGGGATTCAAGTGTTCCACTACCACTCGCATAGAGGAAGGAGATAAGCAAAATATAAGGAAAATTTATCATTATCAATTTTAGTTTGTGATCTGGAAACCTTATTCAAAGTTCACTTTCTACATTTTACTATATACCCATGTAAACTTAGGATAGTAATACAGGGGTGCAATATGGATGATGTGGTCAAATTCCATATTGCACCCGAGATTCTGTATTGAACCCCTCCTGTTTCTACTTTCTCCAAAGCTCGGCTCGGATATAAAAGTCGAAGAGCTTGTTCTTTCCTTCATACAAGTTTGTGTGTATTAAAATATTAATGAATTTTATTAGAATCTCTGAATGGTGTCATTATTTTGCCTATGGTAAGTTGTGAAAGTGGGACTTGATTCATCACGTCATGTGGAGGAATGTATGATCTAGGTCAGTTGCATGATCCACCCACGTGCAGAGTGATACTTAATGTCAAACTAACCTGAATGTGGAAGTATCGAGAGGCGTGAAAATATGTATCGCTACGCTATGATTTGTTTTATTAAGTAAGGCCAGAAAAATTAATTTTCCCCGTTCAAAAAATAAAATCCTCATATTTTTATTGGCACAAAAATATAAACTTACAAAAAAAATATTTTGGGATTGTTTTTTGCCCCATCTTCGTAAATTGCCAAAAATATGAGTATTTAAAAGGACCATTATTTTGACTAGTGATTTTTATTTTTTATTTTGACTAGTGATTTTTATTTTTTATTTTCCAGCCTTTAGGTTTTCAGATGACAAAAATCTGTAAAACAAGAAATAAAATTGGTCTGACCTAACAGATTAATGCAAGATAACAGGGTATGTAATAAATATAGAACATCATACTAGTGCATCTGGAAGCACTAGTATGACGTTCTACATATAGATTATATGTAACTGGAGTTAACTGATTGTAGAAGAGCTATTCTTGACACTGACAGCAGATAATGGACACTGCTCGGTTTCAAAGTAACTATCTGGACTAAATGAATTATAAATGAGAACTAATATACATATCCATAATGTGGGAACAAAAGCAACCGAATAAGGTCATAATCGTCAGTTGAACTATATATATAAACATGATAAACAAACTCGTATTCCAGCCAAGGCCAGGACATTGCACAACTTGCAGGCAGAGATTGATGGCAAATAACTGTCAAAACATATAAATATCCTGATTCATTCATTGTACAATATCTTATACCCAAGAAATAATTGTTGTCCTTAATCTTTCCACAATGTCATGAAGGGACAGACACCGTAACTATTTGACAAAATCACCATCAGCTAACTAACATCGACACTTGACTTGTCAAACTAAAACTTCAGCAGAATCGATCGCCTTTCCACCACAATATCATGTGTTCATATGGCAGTTTCACCAACTTTGTCATCATGCCAAACCCAAACTGTACCTATTAAATGCAGCATTGTATGAACCAGGTGCCTCTTGATAGTGTCTGGAATTTCCATTTTGAGGACGGCCGGATCTGTCTCGTGCCGCCATATTTTTATTTGATATGGTAGCTTTGTATGTTCAATATTACCAAACGATCAAATATTAAAGAACGTCAACATTCCCAAGAAAACAAATTTATTGGTATATTAATTATACATGTACCGACAAAACATACTTAGAATATATCTTCAAACCATTGTTCTTCGAAACTACACTTGTAAACAAAATGTTAAACGAAGGTGACTGGCACTCGGCTTTAGTTTCGACTGCGCTTCTTCGCGATTGTATGTACTTAGATCAGAAGACAGTAACAAGTCTTGTTGATTTGAGGTCTGCTTCCAACTCCGCTCGATTCCAAGCAGTGTTCTGTTTACAAAAATTCACCGTTCAGTTAGCATCGGACTTCGGGGAGTACGTAAAGTGACTTTTGGCGACCAGCCTTTACTATAGTGTTTGCAATTTGCAATGTTAGGTCTTGGTGATTATTGTTCCAAAGGTTAAGATATGTATGAAATCAGCCAATTATGACTCAGAATATTACTCTCACTGTAAATATCACTTCCAAAACAATTAAAGGCTGGTTCTAATATCATCACATACACAGTGCCGTTTATGTATTTTGTAAACAAACAGATTTGCATGTCAACATCAAGTCATCTTCACAAAACATTCATACCCACAATAGCAGAATTAAACGAAAGCTTATATGAGAATCGATTTGGGCTTTAGTTTTCAAATAATGCCCATATATTCGTAGATGCATTGTGATAATAAGACCTTATGAGACTTCGTATCAGCTTCATAAACTTCCTGATACCTCAGATGTTAGACTGATGCACTGTCATATTTATACCCATGACAAATACCATGATGGTCTACGTAATATGAAAGGTGTTCTTTTAGCTGTTGCTTGCAACTGTAGTAATATGTTTTTGTTTAATATCTCTCACTAGATTTAGGGGTCGGTGGGTTAGCTTTGTGGTTAACTTGCGCTTGTGACTTTGAAAACCAGGGTTAGATTCCCCCACAGACCATACAATATCTAAAGGTAATTTTCTGGTGCCCAACATGATACTGATGGAATAGTGTTGAAGGCAGTGTAGAATCATTCTCATTAAGTGCAGTTTTATTTATATACATTCCATGGTTAAGACAGAATATTTAGGTATTACCATGTTTAGTTTTAGAAATATAAAGTTGCATTTTGGGACCGATAACAACAATGCCCTCTGCAGGTAATATGTTTAGGTACCCCAAATATGTAATATTACATTGTAAATAAAATTGCATATGTATTACATCTTTCAGGTGCATCAGTCATGGTTTAAGCATTTGTTGATGTCATCTTAGCATAAAGAAAATCTGCGGTTTATACTTGGGACAGCTTTTAATCAAGAATGGAGGAGAAAAAAGATAGTCAGGTTAGTATGGATGTGGCATGTCATCAAGGATTTGCCGCAACATTATGTGTTTTTGGAATACATTGCTATGTAAATTGCTGCATTTATCTTTATTACACCTTCAAAATCTCCTCTTAAATATCTGTTTGTGTTGCCATTGGTCTACTAATGCAGAAAGAGAAAGAGTTTCATTTAGAAGGTTGTAGTGAGTTTTTGTAATGCTCTGTTATCATGGCATTCCCAAAGCAGGGCCTCAAACTGGTGAGTGGCATCTACACTATTCATGCCATAATTGTATTTGTACACACATTTCTCTATGTGATAGCTAAAAATGTTTCATAGTTGTCCCATCAAAACTGTAGGTGTATGGCTTTTTTGCATCAAAAACCAAATGTAGGTACAGCTAAATCTTTGAAGGGAACCTAGAAGTGGAATGCATAAGAAAAGCAAGATACACTAAAACAACATGGTAATTGAAGTTGAAGAAGTTGACATCCATAAATCTTGCTTTTCTTGGTACAGCTACTCTATTCAGCCCACAATGTCAGCAGTAATTCATATGTTCATGGCTTTGTTTCAGAAACACACTCTTGCTGAGCTCCTTCCCCCACCTGAAACATCTGCACCAACTACCACCACCATTAGTAAGGCAGATGTTATTGCACAAAACCCCTTTGAAGACCAGCTCCCAGTCTCAGCAAGACAGTCACCCAGCATGTCAAATATGACCAACAATATGCCCAATAACATGCAGGGCAATATGCCTAATAACATGCCAGGTAATATGCCGAATAACATGCCCGGTAATATGCCTAATAACATGCAAGGCAATATGCCCAATAACATGCAGGGGAATATGCCCAATAACATGCAGGGAAATATGCATAATAATATGCAGGGTAATATGCCTAATAACATGCAGGGTAATATGCCCAATAACATGCAGGGTAATATGCCCAATAACATGCCCGGTAATATGCCAAATAACATGCCGGGTAATATGCCCAATAACATGCAGGGCAACATGGGTAATATGAACAACATGAACAAGCAAGGACATGGAACAGGAATGCCTCCACAAGGGCCAGGTTCGGGCAAGATGTATCCACCCAATCAGCCAATGGTATTCAATCACTCAAATCCCAATGCACCACCGATTTACCCATGTGGAATATGTCACAAGGAGGTTCATGACAATGACCAGGCAATACTCTGTGAGAGTGGATGTAACTTTTGGTTTCACAGGATCTGTACTGGGCTCACTGATCCAGCTTTCTCCATGTTGAAGGCTGAAGTGTATGCAGAGTGGGTCTGTGACAAATGCTTATCTACAAAGAATATACCTCTTGTCAAGTTAAAACCATAAATATCTGAAAACTGTTTTCATTTCCTTGACACTTTGAGGTGGGCTCATCTCTACCATGCAGTGGTTACACCCTCACTAGATTAGGATCTGTTCAGCGGTTCATGAAAAGTTTGATATGGTTATCCAGGTTTCCAAGGAGAAAACCTGATTACCAGTGTATATCACTATCCTAGACACCAGTTCATCAGGTACATGTCAGTATGGATGTGTAAAGTTTTCTTCCCTTCTTGCCTCGTTTCAAATTCAAACACTCAGAACTCTGAAAAACATTTATCACCATACTCATCATACTTGCATGTTAGTGATGATGTGTTCTGGGGTGTCAGGGTCTATTTCAAGTAAATAATGATCCTTGTCAGAGTGTTCTCACATTTCTTTCTGTTCCAAGCATAAATGAGATGAGTCCACCACAATACATAAACGTCATTTTCATGTCATAGAGAGGCATTTCAATCATTCATTTCACCATTATATGTTAAAAATAAGCAATTCACTAAGGTCAGGTTGTGTGAAAAGCTCCAGATATGTGAACATCTATTTTGACTTGTTTTAGCTATTTTACAAGATTTATTGATGACTATCATTTTCATCACCTTGAGCCGTCAGTTTCCATTGTGTGTTGATGATCACCATTTCAGAAAATGTTCATTGATAAAGGCATGAAAGTGGGGTTCGGGATCCAGAGATCATGAACAAAGTAAGCATTTTTGCATAGATTACAACTTTGTTAATATCTGGCAAGGCCACATAGAGATCCTTATACCATTATCAACCTTGAGCTGATCATCACTCAATCCCCAAATACATAAATGGCAAAGCATCATTATATTACATCCTTCATATCTATAAGGCCACATAGAGATCCTTATTTATCAAGCTAATTTGGTAGAAGTGTATCCTTCATATCTCGTGTTTTTTAGTAGCGGTAGAAGTGTAGTGTGTGTTTTGTAGCGTTAGTGTGTAGTTTGTGGACCAGACATGAGAATTTCTGTTTATATGCAAATACATATGTCTAGACTTTGTTATGTGACTTGCACAGCTCATTTTATTCATAGGTTGTCTAAATTGTCTTAAATTGCTTCTCTCGTGGTTGTGTTGATATTCTAACATATAGAGCATTGTTTAACATTACCAAGTGTGTCAATATTCTGATACTCTAAATGTTTTTGTAACAGAAAATAAAGATATTAATACTGAAATTGTTGATTGTTCCCAGTTGTGTTTGCTGGCATGGCATTCTTAAAAATATTTATGATTTATAAACTAGAAGTACAATGATTGTGCTCCCAATCCAGTTATCCTTAACTCTCAGAGCACACTGACAAAATTATACTACTCCAAAGGAAGGAAGGGTCTTCTTATTTAAAGATTTATATGTAAGTTTATTTTTAGGCTGCACTCAGCAATATTCCAGCTATATGACAGCGGTCTGTAAATAATCAAGCCTGGACCAGACAATCAAGTGACCAACAGCATGAGCATCGATCTAAGCAATACGATGGGATACGATGACAAGTAAGCGAGCCTGGCCACCTTATTACGACAAGCATGGGTTACTGAAGAAATTCAAACCCGGATCTTCAGGGTCTATCACGGTGCGGGGATATTCACTTGCATGTTTGTTTGTTTTAAACATACTTTATTCATGAGAAAAGGATTGGGTACAAGTTATACAACTTAGAACACCCTCTCCATAGTATTTACATAGTATTATTTACATTCATTCTACAAGATGGACAGAGAAGAACAGAAAGATGGGAAAGAGAGGAACAATTGCAACAATTAAGAAAATCATTTTGATTGACAAATATATGCTTGAACAATTTTAAATATGTTTTGATTTATGTGAACAGTCAGATGTTGCATGTTTTAATTGCTTTATTTGAATCAAGTAAACTGTTTATGAAGAAGAGACAAAATCAACAAAATGGAGCTTGTATGTTTGTTTTTAATAAGAAAAATAACTGTTTATGAAGAAGAGACAAAATCAACAAAATGGAGCTTGTATGTTTGTTTTTAATAAGAAAAATAACGAATATAGATACATTTCTTTATATCTTCTCTCTAAGCTGTCAGATATCCAGCCCCACATTACTGCTGCTCACTCACTCACACTCCGGAAGTTCAGCGTTCAGTGAAACATCACGTTTGATAGGAGTGCAAATGCCATATCGGGAGTTATAGGAAAATATGTTTATTAAGTTGGAATAATCCCCACATCTGTTTACTGCCAGCGAATCATGGGAAGTGCTGGAAGAGACAGGGCTGTGCGTTACTACACTGTACCAGGGAGACTATATAACGAGTGTTGTAGATTATCCCTGACTGTACTGAACGCCGCGAGGAGAGAAGATAATTACCACAACATTGTGTTGTTCGTCAGGGGAGAGGTGGACCTCAGCCTCAGACCAGAACCACAAAACATGGAGCCAACAAAATGTCTGGGTGAGTCAGGCTGCAATAAATTTAAAACAAAGATCCAAACAATATAGAACAATTTTTTATGGAAAACGACTTCTGTATTTCGTGAGTGCGACGTTTCGATACAGATTCTTGTACCGTTGTCAAGCAAGAGTGATGCCACTCAAACAAGTTAAAAGATCCAAACAAGAACCCAACAAAACGCTGTGCAGTATTTGTAGTTATCGTCACCGGTATGTCCCGAATGCACCTTACCACTATTTCTACTGGTGTGTAAAATGATACTTATCACATCTTCTGATCCGTCATATATACGAAACCCTTTTCTTAGTCACAGTGTATGAGAAGAAACCCCGTCTCTCAATGAGATAATTCGTGGGATCATTCGATCCTCATTTTGCCTCAGAACAGTTTTTATACAGAGGAAAAACAACCTATTAAAATCCATCTGCCATGTTGTCACTAGCCGGTTTGCTCCAATTATGATTGTAGGTTTGTCAGGGCCTCCTTTCACAAAGCACTAACGTGATCGTAAGTCACTAAGGTAACCTTAGTGCAATGTTAAAGAATGGGAGTAAAGGTTGCTTCGTGAAAGGAGCCCCATATCAATACAGCAGTAGGCGTATAGCAGGAATAATGTTCAAATGGGGGTTAAATCAGACTCACTCACTCACACTGTTGGGATACTGTCGTATCTGGCGGTTGGGTGTTAGTAAACCCTACCGCAGTTACCTATTGATTATGGTCGTTCCACATTGTCAGGGAAGATTTAAGCTCCAGCTCTGCACTCGCTTGGTCCATGGGGAATGCTCAGTCAAGGAGTGAGGGGTCGGGCGACCGTGACTCCTAACTAACTACATCACATTCAGATGCTTGATTGGCATTTTAGAAGATGATATTTGATGAACATAGAGATTTTTTCTGGGTTACATCTTCTTTTTATTCTCGAGTACAACGTTTCAGGGCTTGTTCTGGCCCCATCATCAGGTAAACTGAACAGTAACTGTTAACTCTGGCCGTGACGTCACAATGCTTATGACGTCACAATGCTATGACGACGCAATACATGTCCCTCGAGAATATCTGTGTACCGCTCACTCTTCATATTCCCATCAATTCTAAGATGCCTAGCTGTTAGAACAATCGAAAAAAAAATACATTATCAGACAATAAAGGTATAGTTTTTGATGACGTAACAACGACGCAATACATGTCCCTCGAGAATATCTGTGTACCGCTCACCTTCATTCTGGTGGAAACATTACGTTTATGTTTTACGACGGTTAAAATGTGTCATTTCGACTCATCAACATACACAGAGGTAGCGTTGCCCCTAACACAGATATGCCACCCCACACGTTAAATTTCGGACTGTACTTTGGGCACTGATACAAAGGTTTTCAAAGGTTTGATACAAAGGCTTCCATCTGCTCACGTGTTCTATGGAAATGTTTGGATTTTCCAGCAGGACAACGACCCAAAACATCGTTCAAAGCATTCACAGGCCTGGTTTCGGACCGAAAATATGACATTAATAGATTGGCCAAGCTATAGCCCTGACCTAAATCCAATAGAAAATGTTTGGGGACTTATGAAGGAAAGTGTCAATAAGAAAAATCTGACAAATATTGCTGAAATGAAAGAAGAGGTGGTCCGATATTGGGACAGCATGGACCACAACTTTCTAACTTCTTTGATCAGTAGTATGCCCCGCCGCATTGAAGCCTGCATTGCTGCCCATGGTGACTTGACAAATACTAACTGTTCACCTGTCTTTGAATCTGGAGTTATATTCTGCTAATAATCACATTTAATACGTGAGTAATGAGTGAAAAAAATAAACAATTTACAATCTTTAAATTCTCAATAATTTCTGGTTGTACTGTAACTGTATCTGTCCTTTCACTCATGTGTATTATAATTAGAGGGGTCTCGGACAGCATCGTTCAGTGACTCCCCTTAGCAGTGATTTGTTACTTCCGTCTCCGCCCTTTAACTCATGTATTTCGTAACTTTCCTCTGACGACCTTGTCGTGTCCTTGCCTCACCAAAGTTTTTACCAAGTTCATATCTCAATGTTTATCTTTCTCTTATTCCCGACTTTCTGTCTCCATTATGTGTTTTACCGTTCTTAGTCATGAGCCAAAGGATATCAGTTCTGAGTCATACTGCTAAACGAAATACGGAATCTGCTGTAATTCTCTTAATGCTTTAGGGCTGCATTTTCACCTTATAACAATACTATTGAATGTTACATGTTGTGAATGGTTGAAGTGGGACGGGTTTCCTCCCCTTGATAAACTGTTCTTTCCCCTGCGATTGAGAACAAAACTACAACCTGTATCAAGAGTGTTCATATTCAGACACACTTGACCCAAGGACACACAGAAGAGACACTTGACTGAGTTCTTGAAGACACCAGGATTGTAAAGACAGGTTCTTGAATAAAAGTACATATACCTCAGTCTAAATGGCGTATTACTTATTGGTTGCTGTCACTGTTGCGTCGAATGAATGCTTTGTCCCTGGGTGTTTTATTTATTTGTTGTTTAACGCCGCGGTCAGCAATATTCCAGTTATATGACGGCAGTTGTGAATAACCGAGCACCTGATCCCTCTAGTCGCCTCTTACGACAGGATTAGAATTGGTCTTCAGCAACCCATGCTTTTCTTCCGTGAAAATCCGAGTTAGAGTTAGTCTTCAGTAACCAAAGCTTCTCTCCCCTTGAAGACCTGGGCCTAGATTTCGAAGCTCTCTTAGCGCTAAGATAGTCGTAAGTGCCATACATTAACATTAACTTACGACTATCTTAGCTCTATGATTGGTCGTCAGCAACCCATACTTGACGGGTGGTCAGACTCGCTGACTTGGTTGACACGTCATCGTGTACGATGCTCATGATATTGATCACTCGATTGTCTGGCCCAGACACGATTATTTACAGACCGCCACCATATAACTGAGTACGGCGTTAAACAAACACATACACCAAGAAACACGCGTAGCACTGGGCCTAGAATTTCGAAGCTCTCTTAGCGCTAAGATAGTCGTAAGTTAAAGTTAATGTATGGCACTTACGACTATCTTAGCGCTAAGAGAGCTTCGAATATCTAGGCCCAGGCCTTCAAGGGGAGAGAAGACTTTGGTTACTG